TGACCTGATTGACAGAGGAGACAATACTTATGGAGGAAAATGGGTTATTAATCCTAGTGGTGGCTTGATTTCAAAAGGACATCCACTTGGTGCTACAGGTATGCAAAACCATTTCATTTAGTCATGCCAGTTAGATATGATACAGCTCTTGAGCAGGCAGATGCTTCCCAGTTGTATCTGTCTGTATGAAACATGAGGGCTTCCTAAGACTAGAAGGAAGCTCTGGAGTTGATTCTCATTTCCAACTAAGGCAAGCGTTAGGGCAGGTTGACCATGCAGGATTGCTCAAAGCAAAAGAGTTGGAGTGTGAATTTGATCATTAGCACTTTTATTTAATTTTATGGTGCTACTGTTTCTGTTGTTGTTAAAGCAACCCGTGAAACAGCTTTGCTTTTTGCTACATAATTGCTTAGTAGTACAACTCCTGATGCATGTAGTTTAAATAACTATTTTTGTATGTTGTCATCCTTTAAAATTCAGATTTTGGAGGTTTTTACTGCATCTGAAGAGCCTGCCCCCTTGTTAGCTGTAGTAAAAGCTATTTGTGTTGAACCTTGGATGTCAAAATATTTATCTGATGTTTACAACAGAAGCTCAGTTAGTCCCTGTTTCCCAGCAACATAGGGCTTCCTTTTTTTTGTTTTGTTTTTTTTGTTTTCTTTAAACTGCTATGCTTGCTTCCAAATGAGATGGCTCTTGGATAAAATGTGTTTGGATTTGTGAAGATAATGCTCCTTCCTTGTTTGGAAATGAGAAATTGTCAGAAAACTGGAGAGGAGGAAGCCTTGTAAAACAACAAACCTTAATGTAAACAGCTGGAACAGCTAGACAATCTGCAGGGGGTGGGGGGGGGGGGGGGGGGAAGTATTAGGAAACTCTGGAAGAAAAACATTCCAGCTAAATGAGACCGTGGGTATCTGTAACAAAAGTATTGCATTGCTAGGTACGTGTTAAAGTTCTGTCAGTTACACAGTGATAAATGTAGAGGCAATTACTGGTATTCATGCCTCTATGGCCAACAGATGGGGGGGGAGGAGTCATTAAAATGCAGAAAATTACATGTCTACAGATTGCCAGCTTAATTTCACTATAAACAGTCTTGAGGCTACCTATATGCTAATCAGAGGTCATACCAGTCATCTTCCACGGGGCAGGAGGTACTGCGGTACACATTCTCCTTAAGGCTGAGAAACTGTAAATGAAATCTCTTAACTCTCATCTTTGACTGGAATTATAAAACTTCTAACTCATCCTCTTCGTAATGTTTCACTTGGCAATGCATAAAATTCAGTGCATAAAATGCAGATTCCTCCTCCACCTTGCCCAAAGGCCTACACAGTTGTCTAGGGGAAGGGAGAAGGGACAGAGGTCTGTGGATGATGGAGGGAAGAAGAAATGTGCATGTGGTGGAATCGATCATAATTGCAGAAAGAGCTAATAGGGGGAGTAGCTATTGTAGGGGGAGACTGAGGGTAAATATAATCTGAAAATCGAGGCTGTAGTGAAAAGGGATTCACCTTCATTTTGGGCCTCCCAATAACATGTATTTCCAGGTTTCTTAGTTGTCAAGAACTAACTTTCTCAAATCTTACTGCACGTATTCATTTAATATCCTACTAGGGAAGGAAGTTTATGGACTATGCCTGTTGCATATTCCTTACTTCATTTAACCAGCTATGCCCAACACAAATTTTAATCACAATTCAGTTGTGTATTCTAGGGCTTTTTCTTACCTTGTAGTGTAACGCGTACTTACTACGGGCATTTTTTGTAGTAGGCATTTGTATCACAAAGAAAACCCCCCAATTTTCCGTAAGATCGTTGGTTGCATTTTAATGTTTGTTAGATTTAGAGCAGCAATCTGAATCCAACATTAGTTTGCTGAGATGGGTGCCAGCACAGCGAGGTGAGCTCCACTAATGCTTCTGAGGTGTCTTTAGTAGCTGTTATTACGGCATTGCGCTGAAGACGCCGTGGCACATAAAACTACTGTAAAATGCTTACGATTGTCGTGTAGTTGTGTCTCGGAGATTCAAAAGCCTATGCCGAGTTGTCTGTTTGATAAAGGGCCCTTTGGAGAATTGGGGGTTCGGAAGATAGCGCACACTGGCCCTCCGGGCACCTGACCCCTTAGGCAGGAGCTTTGTCTGGCTTCTCTCTACGCAGTCTCGTAGAAACGTGAGAAATGGGTGACGCGGGGTTTCAGCCTGGCGCTCTCTCAAGGGCGTACAGCGCTTCTGTGAGGACCAGCTGCTCTGCCCCTTCCCCCC